CTCGATTTTTCACTTTTTGGAGAAGGTTAAATCCTTCGGATGGACTCAGCGGGGATGCAGCATGTCAAACCTTTGCGGAGCTGGGACCGGGGCACGCCTGGGGCACTTCCCCGGGTACCCACAAAGGCTGGCACTAGCTGATCCCATCAACATCCTATTAATTGCCCCCAAACCTTTATCACAGCGTAACTACAGAGGCAATGGGGTTACGAGCTATCAGTGTCATTTCTTCCAAGCAGACATGGGTAATTCCAGTTATCTTCCTCGGGTATCCCCCATCCCCACTGTATCGGAGCATCCCAGCAGCTTTAACCTCGCTGCACAATGCCCAGGGGAAGCAGAGCAGCGTAAGGACTGATGGGGAAGCAGCAGCGGAGTTCAGGGCACGGATACTCGAAAGGATGAGTTAAAATAATCAGGCTGTAAATAAGTAGCGTGGACTGTAGAAAGCAGATAAAAAATAATATGCTACAAACCTTACATGGAGGGATTGACACTGCACAATATATACAAAGGTAAGAGAAAGGTGGGACTTTTAATGCTCTCAGTGTTGTTCTGGAATTCAAAGAAATACCTCGCAGCCCTGCAGGGACACGTTGCTTTGCGGGTGCCGGGGTGGTTCGTCTGCGTCCCCGGCCGTGCCGGGTTTGGGTGCGTGTCCCCGACAGCCTGGGGTGACCGGAGGTACCCCAGCCCGTGCTGTGCTCAGGCTGTAGGGCTGGGGACGCCAACCCTTCTGCCACCCCAGCTCCCGGGGAAAGCCAAGGCTTTGGTCTCAGCTTGATTTTGGCACTCCTCACGTATTCCTCTGCTTTTTGACCTCTAAACTTTTGTTTTCAGACCGAGTCTCATTCTCCAGCTTACGTAGCTCTTTTTTCTCCTTGTGTTTATCTGCCCTCGCACCCTCAGCCGGGGTTGCACGGGGGCAATGCATCCCTTCTCTGCCTCCGGATCGCCACGACCCTGAACCCCGGCATCACCCGCACCCCTCCTGCCGGGTTCAGTTCCTTCGCCCGTGGATGCCGAGACCGACCCTCGGCCGTGCCTCTGCTTTCTCACCTCCCGGGCAGTGGTTTCGCCGCTTATCGCCCCTTTTTTATTTCTTCTAATAATTTCTGATTCTCTGCTTACTCCAAACAGGGGACTGAGGGCCCCGAGCTGCTATTTGGGAATTAAAGAAAAAAGCAAAAACCGATTGGATCTTCAAACCGGTAGTGACGGGCGGAGGCACTTCAGCTTACGGCTTTTAATCCCCGCGACCAAAATACACGTGACGGATTACGCGGAGCAGAGGCGATAGCCAGAGCCTTGCTGTGCCTCATGCTCTCCGTTACTTTTACTGGGGGAAGTTAAACAGGAAAATCAAAACCACTTTACGTGCAACAAGGACGGGAGGGCAGGAGCAATCGGCTTCATCCACACTGTCACAACTGGCGTTTTAACCAACGCTTTGCATTATATCAAATAAAGGAGTTGTCTGTAAGGCAGGACCCAAACAGCAGTATTGCGCCCAAGCCCAAGACCTGGGGACCTCTTTTCTGAGGGATTTTCTCCTGTGTTCAAGTGGGGATGCTCTGACTCCTCTTTTTCCCTCCTCCTCCTCCTCCTCCTCGGCTCCTACAAAGAAAGCCCAGGTGAAGAATGACCGGCTCCCGCAGCGGAGCGCGGGTATAACTCACACACCGACACGGCCAGCACAGCGATAAGCAGGAGAAAAAATTTATTTACATCTTTCGAGCAGTAACACAGCTGCAGCGATTCACCGGGAAGAAACTCCAGGAAGAAAACTCGGCGTGACGTGCGCGGGGAGACCCTTCTCCCACCACGCAGTTCCTCAGGTCGGTACAAAATTGCTGTCGCTTTAGAAAAGGCGTGAGATTCACAGTAAAGTACCAAAGGGGAGCACGGCGGGGAGGAAAGGCGAGGGACACGTGTCGCTCTGGAACCTCTTCCCTGCTGCTATTTGGTCTATGAAAACGCCCCGTACGACAACGCTTGTAGAAAAATCTATCCCAAGGGCTCGATGCATGCACGGTCGTGGGATTTCTACATCTATCATAGGGCTCAAAGCCTTTAAAACAAGGGCTCGGGCGGCTCTCCTGGGGCAGAGACATCTGCATGCCCTGCCGTGCCAAACCTCTGCACCAGGGAAGGCTGAGCCCCAAGAGCTGGGCAAGGGACAGCAGGGAGCAGCCCCCTGCCCGGCACTCAGCCCCGCGGGACCACCAGCCACGGCCAGGCTGCTTTTATAGCCTAACCCCCCCCATCATCTCCTCCCCTCCTGCCCCACACTGTTAGAAAGAAAACAGCACACACATTTGGGCTATTTCTACGTTTGTGTTTAAAAACAGCCCAGACCTTCGTCCGGGGGTCATGGGAAAATCTAAAACCTTTCTTAAATAGGATTTCACTGCAGGGTGGAAGCTTTCCATCCTCCCAGCCAGGGAGCTCCAGGGGAGATGGAAAGGCCCCCAAGGACAGCAATGAAACCCAACAGTCCCTCCGCTCCCACCCGGGAAATTCCCACGCAGAGCGGGATGCGGAGCCCTTCCCTGCCGCCGCTGCATCCTTGCGTTCACCTGCAGGCAGGCGACGGGCAGGCGGGACGCGGGCCGAGATCTCGCTTGGCAGATGCCCGACGGCTTCTGGCTCCATTATCGGGAGAGCACCAGGGCAAAGCTGCCCCCGACAGAGAGAGCAAAGATGAGGGGCTCCTCCGACAGCACGAGGATGCGGGTGGCTCAGCGGGGATAAAAGACTCCCGGGGATGCGCTGAAGTTTCGCACACGGAGCCCGTGCATCCCTAAAAAAAGTCAGTCAGCTTCCCCTCCCCTGCCGCAGGGCCACGCTCCAAGCAAAAATAAAAGCAGTGACATTTCAGCAACAGAAACTTGCCCAGGCTGCTCTAATTAATCAAACGGGCGTCGGGGAGTGACAGCTTTTCTGCCCTCCTGCTGAGCCACCCATGGCAGCCTGCAGCAAGCAGCTTCGTGCAGAGTTCCCAAAAGTGGAGGCTAAAATTCACCGTTCTTTTTTTTTAAAACCTTTAAAAATACACATCTCGCTTTTTTCTTAAATATATAGTCTATAAAATAAGGCAACTCAAGGAGACAAAAAGAACATCCCCATTGCTTAGGTACTGCATCCTACCACTACCGAGGGTTACAGTACTTCCAGTTGAGAAAAGCCACTCCACCCGGCCACAAAGCTCCCGCGCGCGAGAAGAGGAGCAACACGCTCAGGTGATGCTGTAAATCCCAGGGAAATGCCGGGGCACAGCCCTCGGCAGCCCCTGCACACGTCCCGAGGAAGGGAAGGCTCTTGTCCCTCCGGGGGCTCGCGGGGAGGGAGCCGCTTCTGCCGGGGATGCTGCAGCCGCAACAGGAACCGCATAGGGAACGCCCCATCTCCAGGGGACCTCAGGGACAAAGGCAGCACAGAAGATGGAATGACTTGATTTCTCCCCAAAACTGAAGCACACGTTAAAAGAAATCTTTGGGAGAAACTCGTACAACATGACTGTATCTCGTAGTATTGGAAAGCTATAAACAAGGTAAGCACAAAGGAGTGCAACTCGTCCTCAGCACAGATCCTGCTCAGCGTCACAGCATCTCATGAAAACTAGGCTGTACAGCAGCTTTTTCTAACAGGGGTTTCATCTCTCTCTATGGAAGAAGCACAAGTGCCTGTTTTACCTCCAATGTTTTCCCTCTTTTATGTGTATGAACGCTGGAAATGTGAGCTTCGCATTCCTGAGCTTCCTAGCGTACACATTTTCCGTGTTGCTCACCGGTTCCCATTGGGCTAAGTCTTGCTTTTTAAAAAGAGCTTTCTTTCTCGGAGAAATAAATTCAGTAGAAAACAATTTCTAGAAAAACACTTCCCAACCTAGAGAGTAACCTGCAGTAAAAGGTACCATGGAGCAAGGGGATGGCACAGGGGGGGCTCAGAGAGAGACCGGGGGTTGTATGGGGGTGGCAAGGACATCATGGCAAGCTGTGTAAACCTGGTACGATCATTACCCAGGTTTGCATCACTCATCTGTGTGTGTAGCTGGACCGTAGGCAGGAATACTTTATAGCCTCAAAAGAGAAAAAAAACCAAAACTATTCTAGCAGACTTGACCTTATAAGCAAAGATCTTTTTGCCCTGATACTGGCTATAACCGTGTATCCACCGACGTCACCCAGTAGACCTGGGGAAGGGACTTGAGACACCACACGATCGCCTCATCTGAGCACAACCCCAGCACCGTGCAGAGAAACCAAATCCGTGATCAAACTAACTCTTGGTCCTTGGTACAAGCTGTTTAGTTCTCCTCATCCGAGAGGACGGGTGGGATCTTGCTGGACAGCAGGGTGTAGACGTACGGCCAGATCTTGTTGGTCTCTGTCCCCGAGAAGGAGTGAAGGATGCCCCTGCTCCTGGAAGAGAGATGGGAGGAGAAGTCAGCACCAGCCCTTCCCGAGGACAGGGGTACTTGGAGTGAGGTTGGCCATCGGCAGGGGATGGCCCGGCCAGGCTGGAAGCTCACCGATGGCTTTTTGGGCGAGAGGAGGGGGATAAAGGGGACGCGCGGCGGCTGCTCCCGTCCCCAGTGTTTGCTGGGAGGGGCCCAGCTGCGCTCGCACGTGGATGAGCCAAACCCAGAAACCCACAAATAATGACATTACCCAGGACAACAGCTCACCCTCATCCCCCGAAAGACCACTCGTTCTCTAAAGTACTTTATAGATGCAAATCAGCAGGATTTATTCATGTGCTTAAGCGAGTGGGCAATTCCCCCCCGCCTCCCCTGCAAGGGCACTTTTGGCCCCCCACGGACCACCTCTGCTTTTAAAACCACCCTCTCCCTTCCAGCAGTGGATTGCCACCCTACAGCAACCCAGCTATTCCCAACTCGGCCAGGGGACGACTGCCCCAAGCTACCGGCAGCGCAGAAGGGACAAGCCCTGCAAAGGGGACAAGCCCGGGAAGGCGTCCATGCCCCCAGCAGACCCACCCGAGCCAGCCCCGGGGTCTCGCCCTTCTCCTCCCCTCTCACCAATCACCCTGTACTTTACCTAAACACTTCGGGGCCCCGGACTGATTTTTGGCAGGGTGACTGCACAGCACGTACCGCCCTGGATCTGCCCAGCGCAGGGCGAACCGGTTGGTTTGAAGTGGGGCAGAAAGCAGCTCGCGGGTGAATTTCTTTATATCAGCCTCCTCCTTCCAAACAGGGCCAGGGCTTGGCTGCAATGAAGGGCTGGGCTTTGTGCCGCTGAGCGCACTGATCTCCCCCCCCCAAAATCTGTCGAGGGCCGTGCCGGGGCTCCTCGGGCTGTTGGGATGGGGGCACGGGAGGTGGGAAGAGCACTCCCGCCTGTTTTTACGGGCAGGCTGTGATTTATTTGCGTGGTCCAACTCACTTGTACAACTCTATTACTGGCTTTGCAGCATCTTTGTATTTTCTGAGCCTGGCAGCAACGGCCTCAGGTTTGTCGTCCTCACGCTGGACCAGCGGCTCGCCCGTCAGGTCATCGACGCCCTGCAGAAAGGCAAACACCATCACTGGCCCCATCGCCCACGCTGCGGCTCCCTGCCACGCAACCGCTGCCAAATGCCTCATCCCGCTCGGCATCAATCGAGCATCCTCCGACATAAAGCCCGTTTCCCTAATTAACACTTAGCACAACTCCTTCAGGCTGGCTCCCGAGGGCAAAGCCCTCCGGTGCTCAGTGCTTACTACCTGGGATTTCTTCCCCAACGCCTTTCTGCAATCTCAACTCACGCAGAAAAAGGCTCCTCTGACCTTTTCCTTCTGTGAATTGTCCCCAGCTGCCACCACCGCGATTGCTACGGGCTCTTACCGGGACGTGGGGGGGGTTGAAGTCCATGTTGTACACCCTTCCGCTGGCCGGGTGGATCCAGCGGGCGCTCAGGCGATCCTTCAGCGTCTCGAAGGGTATGTTCAAGCTGATCACCAGGTCCAACTCACAGATCCTATCCAGCGCCTCGGCTTGCCCCAGCGTCCGAGGGAAACCTGTGCAGGCACCGCAACAGAAAGGGGCTGTCATGAGAGGCAGGAAAGCAGCAGGGATGGAGACAAAACCACCCGTCCCGCAGCCCCGGAGCTGCAAAAACCACCGCGGCTCCTCGCTATAGCACAAGCGGTGCGAAGGACAGGCATCCACCATATGGCTACAATAAAAAATAGCTCCGACAGCACCGACTCCTGAAATACAACACACGAGGCATCCCTGCACAGGGGCTGGAGGCAAGCAAGGGGGGACAGGCAACAACAAAATGGGGATAAATGCCAGAATTCAAAAGAAAAACCTGAGGGAAACAGAACGCTGCGCGCAGATGAGTAACACGCTGCTGGTTTACATGGAGGACATCAAGGATCCTGCGATAAAAAGGTTTGTACAGCCGTCACCCAGCTCTCTGAAACCCCCGTCCTCCGAAGGTACCGGGCGGTACCTTTTGTTCAGAAAAGCCAGTGAGCGGGTGGGAGCATCCGCTTTGCCACCGGACCGCAACTAGGGATGACTCCGAGCCGGTCCTCTCTCCAGTTTTCTCTGCTGACAATACCCTTTTTTCATTTTTTAAACCTTTTTTTACATGGTAAAACTTCAAGACCTCCCAGGCTTTTCCCAAGCAGAGTATTATTAGCCAAGAGCTTGTCAGGACATCGGCACAGGGAATGAATCGGCCATTATAACAATACATTTAGTCCGTCTTACCGAGTCGAGTCGGTCTGGTATTTATGTTATCACACGGACCCCTTGAAATAAATACACTCCTTGTCACAGCACTGCTGGAGTGGGCTCTGGCTGCAGCCCCCGCCTGTGTCCCCAGGCAGATGAATTCCCCCAAATTCGGAGGAAGAACGTGACGGCGCAGGGCTGCCAGCACCGCTGCTGCCTCCGTCCACATGTAAGCTTCGTGGGCAGCGCATCCCTCAAACACCTTGGTATAAGCGGAGGTCAGCACACAAAGCAGGCGGCTCCCAAAATCCTCGTTACCCGCCCCCGGCCAGAACCGTTTCGCCTTTGCGGCACCCTCGGCGGGACCTCCGGATGAAAGGTGTGACGAAACGGGAGCTGGTCCCCGGGTCAGGCTGCTGGGGGTCACACCACGATAAATCAGCCTCCCGAGCTGCAAGAACCCGGATCTGAGGGTGTCGATGCAAACCCCCGTGAATGTGTTGAAATGCCGGAGTTTTAATACAACAAAACATGTACTTGTTTATGCAGAGCTTGTCGCTGTAATATTTGTTAACTGCCATGTTCCCTGATGAATTAAGTAGCACTGTTGTAAGGATAATGAGATTTTAATAGTGAGGATTCACGGGCATCTTCAAGGCAGCCTGAGCCTACAGGACCCGAGGTCTCCGACCTCCACCCTGCGAGCCCAGTGGGGCAACGCTGCCGGGCCCCCCCGGTGCCAACACCACCGGATCCCAGTGCCCACACCGCCAGATCCCAGTGCCCGCTGGGGTTAGGGCTGGACCCCAAGCCCCTGGACAAGCCACCCCTCCTCTGGGGCCACCTAGGGCTATGTGGGGAAGAAGCCCGGTTCCACCAGCCCTCCAGTCCATGGCACTAGACCGCAGACTTATTTTAGTTGTAAACTATTTTGTATTTTCCCTCTCAAGAGCCTGAGAGCTCTCCAAAAGCCCAAGTCTGTTACAAATCACCTGGCTCAGTCTTATCTCCGTATTCACTGACCCTTTCAAAGGGCTTCAGCAGATCAGCAAGGGAGGGTTTCTCCCCCTCCAACAGCCACGGCCGCTCGTCCCCAAATGTCACGCTTGCCTGTGCCCAACACCGCAGGTAAGCGCGACCTGCCGAGCCCTGCCCCATCCCCTAACCAAGCCCCAAAACAGTTTCTAGAGCTGCCATCGGTACTTGCCAGCTCCCAAGCCACCGGTCACCACAGCCGCTGGCACGCAGCTTCACCGCCGAGGGCTGCCGGAGCTCCCGGCAAAGCCTCTGCTGCTCCTCTCCCCGCTCGCCTTCCCGGTTTGCTCTCAGCATCTTCTCCACCCACACCTCAGGTGGCTTTCGGGCTTGGGATGAGTAGCTCCTTCGCACACATATGGAAGCGGTAAGAGGTTTTTCTTGGCTTGCCTCCAGCCCTGCTCTGCTGGCTGGCTCCGCTTTACAAAACACCCATCTCCTTTCCCTGCCTTTCCCTCGCCCGGACGCGTGCCAAGGGCTCAGCTGGACACGCACGTGCTGCTGCGTAGGGCAGAGGGACAAAACACCGCAGGTCGATGTCTCTGCCAGCAGCTCGGCTCCTGCCCCTCCTTCCACCACCAGCTATGGCCCCTTCTGGTTTTTCTCTCTCCTGGTGCCGTCAAATCGTTAGTAGCAAAATAATGTTTTAAAGGGGGCTGGGATTTTCCCGTCCAGAGGGGACGTCGGCAGCGCACTCACCGTCGAGCAGCCAGTGCTGCTCTCGCCGCTTCTCCAGCTCCGTCATCATCACGCGCGTGATGACGTGGTCCGGCACCAGAAGGCCTCGCTCAAGGTACTGCTTTGCCAAGACGCCAACTTCTGTTCAAGAGAAGAAAAAAAAAAACAAAACAAGAACAAAACAAAATAAAAAACACACCATGACATTTCTGCTTAAAAAAATATCGCTCCCCCTCAAATTCTGCCGGTCCTCCCAAATCGCCCATCCAGGAGCTTTCCAGCAGCATCCCTCTGCTCCCAGCCGCTGCTGCCGATAGCCCCACGCAGTCCCTTTGGTGCTGCAGAAATGGAAATGCTTGAAATACCCAAGGGCAGGAAGGCAGCGAGCTCC